TAAGCATTAACGTAAAAATATACAAGTGTTTTGGCTAACCAGAAACATATACAAACCAACCCACTCCAGCTAATCTATTCTGGCCTAACCTATTGGGGCCTAACCTATTGGGGCCTAACCTCTTGGGGCCTAACCTATTGGGGCCTAACCTCTTGGGGCCTAACCTATTGGGGCCTAACCTATTGAGGAAAAAAGTCAAAATAACGGTTAAGTGAGAAGACAAAATTCCCCTCATAGAAAATGGTACTTTTTTCGGTATTATCATCAACGTAAATAAACCTACGTGAACACCAGGCTTTAGGCTTCATTTTTTGTGTTTTTTGTAAAAAGGACGAAAGTGTTGTTGCTTGTAAATTATGTAAGATGTATAAGATGCAAAGCGATTCCTTCCCCCCTAACGCCAACGCTGTTTTCCCGCGCGCACAAAAGATGGCGCCGCGGGGGATTGAGCAATATTTGTGTTGCGACTAAATCGGCCGCTTGGAGCGCTGCCGGCACCCGAGCACCGCCGGGGCGGAGGGAAACCCGCCTCTATAGCTCCCGGACGTAAGGTAAAATTCTGTTTAACTTGCATCGACTTGATATACACGCGCGGTGTAGACTCGGTACGAAATAGCGTCAAATTTTCCTGCTTATCCTGGGCATCAGAGGGATCTGAGACAATATCCTGGGCATCAGAGGGATCTAAGACAATATCCTGGGCATCAGAGGGATTTGAGACAATGTCCTGGGCATCAGAGGGATCTGAGACAATATCCTGGGCATCAGAGGGATCTGAGACAATATCCTGGGCATTAGAGGGATCTGAGACAATATCCTGGGCATTAGAGGGATCTGAGACAATATCCTGGGCATTAGAGGGATCTGAGACAATATCCTGGGCATTAGAGGGATCTGAGACAATATCCTGGGCATTAGAGTGATCTGAGACAATATCCTGGGCATTAGAGGGATCTGAGACAATATCCTGGGCATTAGAGGGATCTGAGACAATATCCTGGGCATCAGAGGGATCTGAGACAATATCCTGGGCATCAGAGGGATCTGAGACAATATCCTGGGCATCAGAGGGATCTGATATAATAGGAATGCTCTATATATAAGTAGCTCTGTGTTCTATAGCCACTAGAGGCCGGTGGTGCTCTGTGCTTCCTGTCCCAGACAAAACGAATTATATTTACATGCATTTTACTCGAATAACCACCATCTCTAGTGGCCTCGAGGGAGACAAGAAGCCAGCGGCTGGTCAAGGTGCTCTCTTATTGTGTAGAGGGTCTCTGGCGAGCGTCTCAGGCCTCCTTCACTCTCGCCTCTCACCTGGTAAATGATCTCTGGCTAAAATTGGATCATCTCACTAACGGGGCGTCGACAGCGTTAGTAGCTGGGATGGCATTGTGTTTTTTTCTGTCACCTTGACGGACCTGGAGGGGGGGGGGTGACAAGAGTCTTATATGAGGGCTGGACGGGTCTAAAAGCTGTCACCTTGACGGACCTGGGGGGGGTGACAAGAGTCTTATCTGAGGGCTGAACGGGTCTAAAAGCTGTCACCTTGACGGACCTGGAGGGGGGGGGGGTGACAAGAGTCTTATATGAGGGCTGGACGGGTCTAAAAGCTGTCACCTTGACGGACCTGGAAGGTGACAGAGTCTAATCTGCCAGTTGAAAGTGTCTAAAAGTCACTACACATTGCCTTTCACCCCGTCTTCTCATCTAGAACGTCGTAATTCAAACGGAATCGATCAATCCGTTAAAAACGCGACCTATTAGTATAAATGAGAGCGTCGCAATATTGACGTTTTCTATGCATCGGACTCAATAGTTTAGGGAGTTACTTGGGCTCGAAATGTTGAGGCAAGACAAAAGAGTTGCCTTTTTACGAAGTGGCAAGTCAAGAGAATAAGTGTGAGCCGAGTACGTAGACTACTGTGCTACAGGATGCAATATTTGCAACGGGACAACTTGCAGGGAACGCACACGGAGGCCGTGAAGATTGCCAGGAGTTGAGCTTGCACAATGCACACACACCTGAGGTAATAGAGACGTCTGGGGCTTAGTGGTTAAGTTCCAACATCTCGAGAGAGAGAGAGAGAGAGAGAGAGAGAGAGAGAGAGAGAGAGAGAGAGAGAGAGAGAGAGAGAGAGAGAGAGAGAGAGAGAGAGAGAGAGAGAGCAGAGAGACAGAGAGAGACAGACAGAGAGACAGAGACAGAGAGAAAGAGACAGACAGACAGACAGACAGACAGACAGACAGACAGACAGACAGACAGACAGACAGACAGACAGACAGACAGACAGACAGAGACAGAGAGACCTTAGCTCTAACATCCCAGTAACATCTTACCACACCAAGAAACACTTGTTGAGTCAAGTTCCTGCTCTCCCAAGATGCTGTACAGCCTCGTCACAGAGCACACAGGCAGACAGACTCCGCCCCGCGTTGAGCTTCGACGCTCTCGTCCCGCATTAGAGCTCTTCACCCCCGGCCGCATTCAGAGCTCCAGGCACTATATATAATCCCGGCATCCAAGCTCTCTAACCCCCCCCCCCCCCCCCACGGCCTCACTCCAGCTCCCGGCCTCGCCTCAGCTACCACAACACGTCGCCAACAACAGATTACCGTAACAAACACTATAGCTGCTTTTGTTATATTTATTTAATAAACTTGTGGAGTTTTATCACCTAAATATGTACACTAAATTATATGCTGTGTGTGTGTGTGTGTGTGTGTGTGTGTGTGTGTGTGTGTGTGTGTGTGTGTGTGTGTGTGTGTGTGTGTGTGTGTGTGTGTGTACTCACCTAGTTGTTTTTGCGGGGATTGAGCTCTGGCTCTTTGGTCCCGCCTCTCAACCGTCAATCAACTGGTGTACAGGTTCCTGAGCCTATTGGGCTCTATCATATCTACACGTGAAACTGTGTATGGAGTCAGCCTCCACCACATCACTGTCTAATTTGGTTGATTTAGTGTTAACTTAGTGCCTCAAGACCGCTTGTGGCTTCAGTAGACTCCCAGGTTAAATAACTAGTAGTGTATCGTGGCGCTGTGGGTTAAGGTACTCGGCTAGGGCGACCCAGAACGCTGGTTCGAATCCAATTCGGTTCCAATGATTTTTACAAAATGATAGCCTGCCATTGTGATTTCCTGGTGTGTGAATGATAATAATAATGTATTTTCATAAAATATACAACGGAAATATTAAAGTTCTGAAATTGGTTAATCGCTTTAAATACCAGGGATGTGTGAATGAGTAAAGAGAAGTTTCTTTAATTGAAGTTGACAGTAGTCAGTTAGGGAGGAATATTGACAGTTGCAGCGATGTCTACCCTTTTACGTGATCGTTTTCTTTTATAAACTGAGAAAAAAAATGAGAGTTTTGGGACCACAAACTATTTTTTTTCAGCTCGTCCTCTAAACCGGGTCCGCTTTATGTGGCCAAGTGATACCTCGGAGTGTGTGTATATATTATATATATATATATATATATATATATATATATATATATATATATATATATATATATATATATATATATATATATATATATATATATATATATAATTTCCTAATTACCACTTACATTATTATTATGGGGGTCTGCTACCACTCACAGGATGGGTATGGGGTCCACTACCACCCACAGGATGGGTATGGGGTCCACCACCACCCACAGGATGGGTATGGGGTCCACCACCACCCACAGGATGGGTATGGTGTCCATTACCTCCCACAGGATGGGTATCGGGTCCACCACCACCCACAGGATGGGTATGGGGTCCACCACCACCCACAGGATGGGTATGGGGTCCACCACCACCCACAGGTTGGGTATGGGGTCCACTACCACCCACTTAACTGAGCGTATTTTTGTCACGTCCTCAGTGAGCAAAAGAATTACGTCAATTCAACCCTGAATTAATGCAATACACAACTTAATTACTCCACTCTTGGATTCCATGTATACTATGGGTCCCACTGGGCGTGGTATCGAAGAGTAACGTTATCTTGACGTTGACGCGGCGTTTAATTAACGTAAATCTTGAAAATTGTGCCCATTGAAGAAACCAACCAATCACATCGTGGAATTTCGTACATAATTGAGATTTCGTACAAATTGCTTTTTTTGGTACTTTTCTCAGATTTCTGTTGGATAAGAGTACTTTTTTATTATATATGTGTAGGCCTAGGAATTTGTATTTTTCATCGGTAATTGATTAAAGGTACTAATTCAAGATCTGTTGGTTCATTATATTTTTGTTTTTCCATCGGTATTTGGGACCTGGTCGAATGTATGGCCCTTACGACCCGAGCTGGTATAATCTGGTCGACCAGGTTATATATGGTCTGCTGTGGGTTTTTTCATACCTTGTCCGAATTGTCTGGAGATTAGTCATTTCTGCTGTGGAACGTGTTTGGTTCTGAGTTTGCATACTATAAGGCGGTTATCTTGAGGTTATCGCGAGGAAAATGTTATCTTGAGGAAAGGAAACGTCATCGGCAAAATGATCTTTGACTCGAGGTGTTGGACTCTCTGGCCGACCTGAGGAACACAGGTGTCAAGTGAGAGTACTGTAAGTACAGTACTCCAGTACTGAGAGTACAGTTTTCAGTATTGGAAGTGTCCAGTACTGAGAAGCAGAGGTATGAAGTTGAATATATTCAAGAGTTGTTACATTCTTGTACAGCCACCAGCACGCGTAGCGTTTAGGGCAGGTCCATAATCCTTATTTTCCCCGGAATACGACCCGCCGAATTGTTTAACAACCAGGTACCCATTTTACTTTTGGGTAAACAGAGGCTACAGTTAAGGATTGGCGCCCAGTCAATCCTCCCCGGCCAAGATACGAACCCAGGCCAAAGCGCTTGCGAATCGCCAAGCGAGTGTCGTACCACTACGCCACGAGAGACTACCATAAGTGCACACTGTAACCTGGAACTATATCCAGTACGGAATTACAAACAAGAGACCGTTAGACAGGACCCATCAACCGCGCCAGCCGAGCGCGGGAAACGTCGCTAGGACTCCACCGTCACAGCACCGCTAACCGCTCACCAGTTGCTCCGGTGTCTCTCCTCCTCCAGCACCTCCTCCAGCAGCTCCTCCTTCAGCCCAACCTACAGCACCTCCACCAGTGTAACCTCCACCATCCCCTCCAGCGACTTCTCCAACCGGTTGAGTGTTTAGGCGAGTGACCCCTTCCATCCCATCACGATTTCTGAACATTTAATATTCATTTCCTCGTGAGGTAAGCCGCATATGAGGCCTCTTGTGCATCCTTAAGACGGGATTCATCAAGTATATATTCACCCACATACGAAACATATACATCTTTCCTTAATTATGGTGGTTTTGTGTATATTTAATAACCGTTTGCCAGCCGCGAAGTGCCACGAGGTTGTTTTATTCAAATTCAAATTCAAATTTTTATTCAGGAAAAGTGCATACACAGATGATGAGTTATATGTTAACTGTGATGAGATAATGACTGTTATCTGTGATAACTCATTATAACAATAATAACCTCAGGTTGTGAAATTTCCCAGCTCGTAAACTGTTTATTAAATGTAAACAAAGCCGCTGTGACGAAGGAATGATCTAGAGGTTTCGCAAAGTGCTGATATGCTTGGCGACTCTTCTTCCCGGGTAACGTTATATTGGTTATGTATGAATTTGTGAGTACATAATAGTCTAGTGGAACAGACGGTACACTGCAGGTTACTGCTACATATGGTACATCACAGGTACAAGCCACATACGGTACTCCACATGTTACACTTCAGGTAACAGAACGGTTAGGCACTGAACCGTGAGAGCAAAGCCAGCCACGCACTCCATACCTGTTGGAACAGACACCCTCTCACTCCAAACCTGTGAGGGGGCAGGTACTCCTGCTCACTACACCTGCATGTACCTCACCGCTATGTATACTATGTATTTGTCCCCCCCCCCCCGTGTGTATTAGTCTACATACACACCTGCACACTCGTACTCACACACACCTGTAAACTTATCCACACATCTGTACATATTTAAGTGCCTGTGTACACCTGCTGATGCCTGTAAGCTGATACACATGTGTAGTTACTCATCTCAGACACGTGTTTTCACATTTTAACACCTGTATACAGTACAAATCCACAAGGGCCGTGACGAGAGTTCGAACCTACGTCTGAGATGATCCCAGACGCGCCTTAATCGACTGAGCTACGACATGGTCAAAAGTATTGCAACCGGGAACTCAACTTGACCTACCACGGATCCTGCAGTCTCTCCGAGACACAAACCAGTATTTTACACAATTCCCCCCATGCACCCGAGCTCTGTCGATTAAGGCAGCGTCTGGAATCCTCTCGGACGTAGGTTCGAACCCTCGTCACGGCCCTTGTGGATTTGTTCACTTGACGCATCACGCTATTGTGATTTCTGTGTGTACTTGTATACTGTTCATCATATGCTGTTGTTCGTAAGTGGCTATACATTGTAATAATGTAGGGTCCTGTAGCACAGTGGTCCGCGTCCGCGATTCACAACCGAGAGACCCGGGTTCAATCCCTGTTTGGGGAAGGGTATATATATATATAGCGAGGCACGTTTCCGTTCACCTGATGCCTCTGTTCACCTAGCAGTAAAATTGGTACCCGGGAGCTAGACAACTGTTGAGTGCTGCATGAAGGAAGAAGGTCAGTGGGGAGGTCGGGATATTAATAGGCCTATGGGGCAGGCTTATTGAGGCCTATTATCTCAGGGAAATAGCGTTAGGACTGACAGCTGATAGCCCTCTGTAATGGTTTTACGCTACGGCTCACAGGATGAGTATGGGGTGCACAATAAACTACCGCTCACAGGATGATTATGGGGTGCACAATAAACTACCGCTCACAGGATGAGTATGGGGTGCACAATAAACTACCGCTCACAGGATGAGTATGGGGTGCACAATAAACTACCGCTCACAGGATGAGTATGGGGTGCACAATAAACTACCGCTCACAGGATGAGTATGGGGTGCACAATAAACTACCGCTCACAGGATGAGTATGGGGTGCACAATAAACTAGCCACCTCCGGCGGCAACAATCAAAATCTGCAGGTGATAGCCAGCTGTCAGCATCCATGACACCTCAGCCTTCATCTCCCAGCATTTTAGTTATGTGGCTCTTCCAGGTATGTTGGTCGGCAGCCGATCAAGTCCAAGACGGGTACTGATAGCGGCGGCCATTACTGCTTCTGCAGGAGCTGCGATCACCCTGCTGTTGGTGCTGAGACCCAGGACACACCCCGCCCTAGTCCGCCTGCCCCGCCATGCCTCGCCTCCAGACACCAACGGTATTCACGAAGCCCCCAGCGATAAGATGGACTACATACCAGGCTGGCCCTACGGGCTAAGGATCAATGAACCTGACACCTGCAGGGACCAAGACGTGTATCTTTTAAACGCCGTCACCTCTAACCCGTCTCAAGTGTACCATCGGGAGATGATCCGAGAGATGTGGGGCCGCAAGGACATAGCCCAGAAGCTTAAGCTGAAGACTGTGTTCATAGTCGGAGCCGTTCCATCTGAGGCCACGCAGAAGCACCTCCAGGAGGAGAGCGACAAATACCGAGACATCATACAATTTGATTTCCTTGAGACGAGGAAGAACTTGACTATCAAGTCTCTGGCGGCTATTCACTGGTTCAGAGCCTTCTGCAGCAACGCCACCTGGGTGCTGAAGTGCGACGTTGACGCCTATGTCAACTTCTGGGCCTTACTGGAGGTCCTGAAGCCAGTCGACGACACAAACGACGCCGTGTGTGCTCGTTCCGTGTCAAGTTTCGTGTGTCGGGAGGTCACGAATGATGGGTGCTTGCCCCACTACGTGGTTGACCCCAAGGATTACTCACACAACACGTACCCGCCGTACTGCCAGGGGTACGCCTACATCCTGCACCGGAGGCTGGTGGACCGCCTCCTGCAGAAGGACCAGCAGCGAACCAGTCCGCCCTTCTGGTTAGAGGACGTCTATGTCACGGGTCTCCTGCCCCGGGACCTCCAGGCCAGATGGCTCAATGTCAGGTACAGCTGAAACCTTCCATACAATACAGTACCAACTCGACCACACACTACAAAGTGAAGGGACGACGACGTTTCGGTCCGTCCTGGACCATTCTCAAGTCGATGAGAATGGTCCAGGACGACTTGAGAATGGTCCAAGACGGACCGTAACGTCGTCGTCCCTTCACTGTCTAGTGTCTGGTCTGTTTAACATACTTTAGCTAATATACTTCAGCCACGTTATTGTGACTCATCGCCTGCATGTTATTAGTTTTCTTTACCAACATTATTAGTATTCTCACTCTACAGTGATTTTGTTATTTACGGACCTCTTGCCAGTCTTCGTTTGCTAAACTCGATATTTTATTTGTCTCAAAATAGCTTTACTTTATTATTAAATATCATTCACTTACTATCAATGCTTCCCTCTCCAGCATCCACACACCACATCTCAGTCTTTAACTCCCAGCATCCATCACAATTCAACCTTCATCTCCCAGCATCCATTGTCCAACCACTTGGGGTGGACGGTAGAGCGACGGTCTCGCTTCTTGCAGTTCGGCGTTCAATCCCCGACCGTCCACCAAGTGGTTGGGCACCATTCCTTCTCCTTTCCCCCCGTCCCATCCTAAATCCTTACTCTGACCCCTTCCCAGTGCTATGTAGTCGTGATGACTTAGCACTCTCTCCTGATAATTCCCTTCCCAGCCTCCATCACAACTCAGCCTCCATCACAACTCAGCCTCCATCACAACTCAGCCTCCATCACAACTCAGCCCATCACCTTACCTTCACAAGCCTCACCATGTACATTACCTTCTGTCCTCTGGTCTCCTGTAGGCGCCGCAGCGAGGTGGTGCCCATGTCAGTGCGGCCAGAGTACCACAATGGCACTTTCCTCTTCGTGCACGACCTGGAGGGCCAGATTGGGCAAGGTGCCACCAATTACGTCTGGCTCAAGACTCTCCAACACCACAACGTCACGCCCTGACCTCCACAAGGGTCATTTATTAGCATTGGAAATTGTCCAGTTGAAAGTGTATTTTCAGTGTATGTTCAGCGAATTATGGAGTACACTTCCCCTTCTCCGACCCACCTACACACAGAGTGCGTGCACTCCACACTTATGTTAATAAACCCTTTTTGATATGCCTGCTTTTCGATATATGAGGACCAAGAGTTGGGATATGAGGACCAAGAGCTGGGATATGAGGACCAAGAGCTGAGATATGAGGACCAAGAGCTGGGATATGAGGACAGAGAGTTGGGATATGAGGACAAAGAGCTGGGATGTGAGGACCAAGAGGTGGGATATGAAGAAAAAGAGCTGGGATATGAGGACAAAGAGTTGGGATATGAGGACAAAGAGCTGGGATATGAGAACCAAGAGGTGGGATATGAGGAAAAAGAGCTGGGATATGAGGACAAAGAGTTGGGATATGAGGACAAAGAGCTGGGATATGAGGACCAAGAGGTGGGATATGAGGAAAAAGAGCTGGGATATAAGGACAAAGAGCTGGGATATGAGGACAAAGAGCTGGGATATGAGGACAAAGAGCTGGGATATGAGGACAAAGAGCTGGGATATGAGGACAAAGAGATGAGGAAGGAGGGAAGGAACGGCGCCCAAACACTTGGCCCAATAGGGGATCGAACCCCGCCCCAACAAGGAGCAATGGTATCACTACTAATCAGCCCAGATGGCAGGCAATGTGATGTAGTAATTGCGCGAATTCGCCTTGGCTATAGACACATCTGGCAGGTTAGTGAGGCTGAGCCACTACCAGAATATTCAGATTGTAAACTCTGTGATAAACCTTTAATGCATTCACTAGAACACTATATTGATGAATGTGAAACCGTAAAGGACTTTAGACCTCCTGGCCTATTGTACCACCAACTGTGAAACTATTTTATTGACTCAGGTGTTCTGGACGACATCCTAACAATTTACCCAAAATTTGCTTGTCTATTTTAAAGAATGAAGAACAATTTCTATTTATATTCTAAGCTGTATCACTTATGAACCCATCCCTGCCCTTGTGTGGCAGTGCACAATAGAAAGTTGTTTTCACATATCCACACATTAAAACATTGATTGTAACCATGATATATATGTGCTTCAGCCTACAGTTTAGACCTATTGTCTTATGTATGACCCTCTGTCCTGCGTGACAGTGAATACTAGCATTAACCTCAATTTAATAAGACTATCAAAATCCTCAGATTAAGCAAAATTGTAATTAATTTTGTCAATAAAGATGTTAATAATAATAAAGATGGTTGTAAACTCTAAGATTAGAGCCTAGCATAATAGTCTACGTCGGAGGCTCTCAACTTGAGGGTCTCAGGTCGAGTCCCAGGACAGCTCACCTAAACTGATGGCCATCGTTTACTTTCACCTTATGCCACTGTTCACCTAGCAGTAAATTGGTACCCGGGAGTTAGGCAACTGTTGTAGGTTGCATCCTGGGATGGGGTGGGGAGGGAGGAGGGTCAGTGGTAGGCCTATGGGGTGTGGGGGGGGGGGGGGACATGGATAAGGCTAAGTACAGGCTTCGTCCAACAAAAAAGTCCAACCGATGGGTAGATGATAATATGGATAAACTAATTGCCAATTATGAAAACATCAGCTGTGAGCAATTCTTAGAGATGGTATTAGATAGACAGTGAATATCTAGTGAAGATATATATATATATATATATATATATATATATATATATATATATATATATTGAATAGAAGTGTTTGTGGAAAGCCTATTGGTCCATATTTCTTGATGCTTCTATATTGGAGCGGAGTCTTGAGGTGGGTAGAATATAGTTGTGCAATAATTGGCTGTTGATTGCTGGTGTTGACTTCTTAACTCTCCTTCTTCGTAAGAAGTCAACACCAGCAATCAACAGCCAATTATTGCACAACTATATTCTACCCACCTCAAGACTCCGCTCCAATATAGAAGCATCAAGAAATATGGACCAATAGGCTTTCCACAAACACTTCTATTCAATATCCATTGTTTCGTGTTCTGTCTTGTGTTGATACTTTTAATACCCTATTAATATCCTCTAATGCCACATCATCTTAACACCTTGCTGGTGTTGACTTCTTGACTCTCCTTCTTCGTAAGAAGTCAACACCAGCAATCAACAGCCAATTATTGCACAACTATATTCTACCCACCTCAAGACTCCGCTCCAATATAGAAGCATCAAGAAATATGGACCAATAGGCTTTCCACAAACACTTCTATTCAATATCCATTGTTTCGTGTTCTGTCTTGTGTTGATACTTTTAATACCCTATTAATATCCTCTAATGCCACATCATCCTTCCCACCTCACTCAAATGTAATGCCACATCACCCTTCCCACCTCACTCAAAAGTAGATATATATATATATATATATATATATATATATATATATATATATATATATATATATAATATTACATATTACATATTGTAACATGTAAGAACATGTATGTAAGAACATATTGTAAAACTCATATAATTTAACGTTCAGTGTTTTATATAAGTTTGATGGAGTTTCGGGAGTGCAAGATGGCTTTGTAGCTAAATTAATAGAGAAGGTTCGGTTCCCAGGCCTATAATTATGTGACTAAAACCTTTTCCACTACACCCACAGGACGGGTACAGCCTGGATATTAAATGAACCACACTTGAAAAAGAACAAAAAATAGCCTCACTCACAAAAGTATTCAATATAATCAACCACCTGAGCCGAGAGACAATTAGGAAGTTATAGAAGTCAAAATTTTGAAATCCAATTTTGGTTAGGATGGGTTAAATTAAGTTCGCTCAGGTTTACTTATTTATTTATTTATTTATTTATTTATTTATTTATTTATTTATTTATTTATTTATTTATTTATTTATTTATTTACAGGAAGTTACATTGAACTTAAGAACTTAAAGAATAATGACGTACTGTAAGCTGACGGAATTTTACTCAGGTCTTGAGACCATATTCAGCATATTAAGCAATGCTCAACTATTAAAGTATTTGATTTAATTGAACAAAATTTATTTAATTCTTCCTTTTGGAATAATGAAAACAGAATCGTAGGTGTAACTTTTTATTTTTTTTTTACAATGTGCATTGATTTTTATGTATACGAGATATTCATCAGTGTATTAAATCGACGGATTTTACATACTTGTGGTTCATCAAATTTCAAATAGGAACGAAAGGTCACATAAAGCGTACAGGAAACTTGACATGTTATCGTACACTAAACAACAATGCATATTGCTGGGAATTAGAAAATGTTAAGTTCTAGAATTTTTCAAAATATTAATTACATGTTGATAGATATATTTATGTATTGGAAACAATGTAAAGAACATGAACGTTATATAAATGGTGTATATGTATGTAAGTGATATATTTGATATATCATGGACATTTGGGTGTTTTAATACTTAATAGAAAGTCTATTGTCCTTTGCTTCCCTCTTATGTTGGTATATCGATATGTGATATATAACACATGTCTATGTGTGAGTGTCTTTTTTTAATTTTGTGCATGTTATAGAACATTGCAAATGTTGCTAAACTCAAGCACTTCTTTGACTCAATGTTGATGACGTGGCATTGAATTGGCGGTACTCGTGGATATTGGTCCGACTGGCTTATTGGATGGTGTGTATTTTTGTGCCAGGAGAGGCTAGGGACAAGGGTTCGATCCCATTATATAGCCTCAGTATATTCTCATCTGTGTGTTAGTTGCTGGGTCCAGTTCTCGCGTTGATGCCTTCGTGGACACCAGGATCAGAGAGGATTCACAGAACACTTGCGCGTCCGCTTACGACATCTCTTCCTCTTACCTCCATCATGGCGACTTAGTTTGTATTCACAAAAGGGTTTACGAGCTCCGAAGCGCTACGAGGCCGTTCGCAACTTGCCATTACTGTTACACACTGTGTGATCAATTATATATCCCCACTTAAAGTGTAAGCTAAATGTTTTTCAATTTGTGTAAATTGTGAGAGTTCGTGTAAGTTGTTACAAATGAATCCGGATTCTGACTATGAATCCTAGCCCAGATGTTTGTTGACATGGGGTCGGTTCTTGGGTGTAGAGAGGAAGGTTCATCCCAGCGTTGGATTAGACAGACGTTGACATGTGTCATTAACCAGGTACTGGGAGAGAAGTCAATCCCAACTTAGGATTAGACAGTAGTGATGGTGAGGTCGTCAATCCCAACAAGGTTTTCGTTTCTACCTCCAAGGTCCACCTCGATCACCAGCTGAGGGAGAGAGAGCAAGACTCCGAGGTTTAAGTATCTCAGAATGGAAACATGTTTCAGCAAACGCAATACAGACGAATACCAGCACGTAACTTACTGAAATATACAGCTTTGATTATCTATATGTTACCAGCAAATACACAATGTTATAACAACGTAAAATTAACGTTGTGGTAACGTTGTGTTTCTTGAGATAGAACAATAAGTTTGATTTTTGTATGATAATTTACCAGTTTAAAAACTGTTAAATCTATTAATATTTACTTTATAAAAAATATTGTTTACTTCGGTCATGTTATTTACTGAAGGTCATATACAATCATTTAAAAAAATATTTTTTAAGAAAATTAGTATTTTAAATGATGAGTCTACGATAGCATGGATATTATAATTATTTATTTACGTTTATCCTTTCCCAGTGGGTTCAATATCCAAGAGAAACGTCAATTCAATGTCAAATCAACGTCACTCTTGGATATTATCTTACTGGGAATGTTTGAAGAAAATAATGTTCCTCTCATGTGGAAGACATAATAGTTATGATTCTTACAACTGTATTGCTCTTAGTAAGATTATTTGTGCTGCTGGTTAATTTTTTCCTCGGCTCTTCTGGGACACACACGCGCACACACACACACACACACACACACACACACACACACAGTTGAGAGGCGGGCCGAAAGAGCAGAGCTCAACCCCCGCAAGCACAACTAGGTGAATACACACGCACACGCACACACAGACCAGAGGCATGTGTAACACACTATACAGTACACACTACACTCACGCACTCGCATGCGTGCCATATACTTCACGCACGCACACTCACAATCATTAGCATCCCCCTTCTGTGATTACCCTAGAACTTGAACTCCCTATGTAGCCCTCATCCCACACCTGATCTCTCTAACAGCCAGCTTAACTTAATCCCAGTTTCACTCTAGCACTTCCCACTCAGTCAGAAAGGGCTTAGGATAGTAGTGTGAGCGTGGAGAACCTAAAAATGTAATACACCAATGCTGATGTATTGGCAAATAAGACAGATGAACTGAATGTATGTGCTGAGGTTCCGAACATCTTTGGGGCTGCATGGGAAGAATTGCGTACTTGCGCAAATATTAGTTTTCCATGTTTGCTTGATCACTTGTGTATATAAATAAACACTTTATTGTTTATTGACCAAAGAGCCAAAGCTCAACCCCCGCAAGCACAATTAGGTGAGTACAAAACTTTTGGTGATAATGTTATTATTAATCTTAGTACCTGACCATGCCAGGTTTAAAACTGATGATCCTGGTGGTATAAATATCAAAGTTTGTAGTACCTGATAGTAAAAATCTCCTTCTTCAAGGGGGATGATAACGTCTCTTTGAAAGTTCAGCCAGGATTGGCTGTCGATGTTGCCATAACTTCTCAGATTGACGAAGGGAAGAGTGTCGTAGCGCCCATCAGGAGTCTTCTTGCGAATGCTGTCCAAGTCAGAAATAATAATAAGACAAAACAAGTACTGCAACACTGGCATGAGAGTGCAACATGTTCCCTCAGCGTTTGAAAGTAATTGATTAAAAGCTCGAAGTATGTTACATTCATTTTATTGTGATTCATTTTTAATGTGATCCGGAATATGTGATTACAGTTATAACCTTGTGCAGACGATGAGTCACATCTGGCGGAAGAAATGTGGACCAAACAACACACCAGAAGATGAGGAGACGACGACGTTTCGGTCCGTCCTGGACCATTATCAAGGCGTGTGTGAGGACCACTTGTAATGGTCCAGGACGGACCGAAACGTCGTCGTCTCCTCTTTTGGTGTGTGGTTTTGTCATCTTATAACCTTGTGTTTTGTGAATCATTAAAATTAGAACGATTTAATACAAATTTAATGCTCAAAGAAATCCCATTAACGTGATGTATCAGTGAGTAATTCAGTAGGACCTGAGGAAGATGTGAACCCGCTCACGGGGTATTCCCAAGCACACGCCTTAACCCACCGAACCACGATATGCCAAAGTAATGTTTCCTGGGATTCAACTGAATCCTCTAATGCATCCTCTGGCCGGGGTTCCCACACAATACCCGCGTACACTCAGGTGTGGTATAGGAGTGCTACCTCCCCACCAGTCTCTTCAAACGGACAAAGGGGTTAAAGACGTGTGCTTGGGAGTACCCAGAGTACAGGTTCGAATCCTCTTCGTGTCTTCTACTGATGTTTTCACAAATATAATAAAAAAGGGGTGGTAAGAGAAGCAGATACTCAAATTCAGAGGCAAACGGCAAAGGTTCTCCCTGAATGCCCTATATTTCCATCTACGAGGCTATGGGTCCCCAGAACTGCACCAGAGGTGGTGGTGGTGGTACCTTTAGATATTGCAATGTATTCTGGGTGTTGCTAGAGAGAGACTGTGTTGCTACGGAATCTCTTGCTAGGCAGACTTTGTTGTTGTTAAGAACATTGTTGCAAGGGAGAGTTGGTCGCTTGGGTGATTGTTGCTAGAGACTCGTTTGCAAGGAAGATTTTATTGGTAGGGAAACTATTGGTAATGTGACTGTTTCTAGGGAAGGGGGAACTATCGGGAGAAAGCACCTTAAGCCATTAACTGTTGTTAGGAAACTTAACTGTTGTTAGGGAACTTAACTGTTGCTAGGGAACTTAACTGTTGCTAGGGAACTTAACCGTGTTGGTATGGAAATTAACTCAGTTGCCATGGAGACTGACTCAGCCACTAGGAAGCCTTGACATGATGCATTTGCTATCATTATTTACACCAAAGATGCTAGAAGAAATAGTAGTGGTTTTAGTAGTATAGTGACCACTTGCATTTACTTAAGCAATTCCTGTAAGTGTTACGTCAGGTAACCTCCCTAAACAGTAATGAAAGACATATTGCAACCCTGTTGCTTTATCGAGCACTTCAACATGTTACCTGGGCGATATCTTAAGCAATTAACTGATAACCAATAAGATTGATTATCTCATGCGGTCTCTTTGACATGGAATGTTTTCATTTATCGTAGAGATAAGGGTAAAAATAGAGTTTATATAATTGTTAGGTTTGGTTTCAACGATGGTTTAATACGTATTAAGGTGTTTTGACGGTAATAGAGGTTACTAGAGTTAGAGAACTGTGCTTAACTGTGTCTGCAGGTGTGTGTGTGTGTGTGTGTGTGTGTGTGTGTGTGTGTGTGTGTGTGTGTGTGTGTGTGTGTGTGTGTGTGTGTGTGTGTGTGTGTGTGTACTCACCTAAATGTGCTTGCAGGGTCGAGCTAGGCTCCTAGCCAGGCCTTCCGAACGTTAGATTAATGTGTGTGTGTGTGTATGTGCGTGTATATGTACACACACATATGTATGTGTACGCACGCTTATAGAGAAAGTGTACACACAAACGCGTGTGCACACGTTAGCGCGGCATATGTTTGTGAGTGCACACTCACGGTATGGGGTGCATAATAAAGAGAGAAATTGAATTGCACACTCACCTTAGTACTGCAGGGTAGGTGACAGAACCTCGAACCCAGAACTTAAATTTGAGTCTTTTAGTGGTTCCTCCTGAAGCAGGCAGTAGTGGAGACTCGATGCTCAGAACGCCTAAGTCACCCCAAGAGAAAGAACATGAGGTAAGGTAATTATTAGAGAAAACGTAAGGTAATTCAATCAGGAGAGAGCGCCGAACCATTACGTCTATATAGCAGTTGGGAGGGATATATGGATAAGGATTTGGGATAGGACAGAGGGCAGGAATATTGCCCAACCACATGGTCGGGGATTGAACGCGGACTTGCATGAAGCGAGGTCGTTCGCCCAGTCCAAGTGGGATTTATATGTCAAAATACGATTATCTTAGAGCAACATCAGTTTAACAATAATAACATTGATTCTATGTTGCATTAACGTTGATTCTACGTTAAATTAACGTTGATCTTACGCTTAATTAACGTTGATTCTAAGTTGAATTAACGTTGATCCAACGTTAATTTTACATTACACGAGCATATTTTGTTTTATTCCGCTGGGAAATGAGTCGTCGCTTTAAAACCTCGCCATATTGGCCTCACCTGAATAGATGTGGTTTCGTGAGGATATCAGGAACATGTCTCCGGTGGCTGGTCGAGGGACCTTCAGAGACGGGTTGAGTGTTGTCCAGTTGACGAGTTGCCAAAGTCCCCCGTCCATGTTGCCAATCGACCAGCCTGTCCATCAGGAGGATTGTTTGATAATTCGTGACATGCGATGCACGTGGTGGATTTTGTTGTGAAATGATGTTATGTGAAACTAAATACGCGATTAGTTTCTAGTCGAAATCATGGGAAGGATTACGGTAATTAGCAGTAATATTATAGTTAGGCTGAGTACTTTTTAACGTGTGTCTATTCACATTTGTCTGGTATAGAATATAATCATATAATTATATTCCATAGTAATAGTATAAAATATTAGTTTCTTGTACAGTTAATAATTATATTTTTATATTCTTAAGCTGCTGTGATGATTACTTGGATAAGACTAGAAATTCTAATCAGATTTTACATATAATGCACAATATATTGATCAAAACTGCAGTGAAAAACAACATATAAGGCAATCAAATCGCACTGTTGTACCAGGGGATATTAACCTCTGCAAGTACTCACCCATCAAGCCGTTCTCGAAGTTCATGATTGTAAAGTCTGATTCTATGACCCTGACGCCACTCACTTCAAGCCTGTTGATGACCACAGCGTTCGTCGGGTCACCGCCCTGGGACGCCTCTGTGAGAGGGAGAGAGATATTCAGAATGATTTCCTGCTTCCTAGGAAGAAGCCTATTTCCTTGTAGGTTTTACTTGCTAAACCTACAAGGAAGTGAGGTGAAGCTCGTTGGGACATCCTGACCTTGCTTTACCTGCTGCAATATATAATCAACCTATAGTCACTATATATATATAGTCACTATAGTAATATATAGTCACGGGGAGATATATATATATATATATATATATATATATATATATATATATATATATATATATATAGTAGGCAGATTAGGGGAATGGAAGTTAAGTGTACTTGAAATGTGTGATGTAATTTCCGTACCAGGCAAGTCATGTCACCTCTCAAGGAAAGCCCACCTCTCTTATCCTTATCGCTCGTCTATATATATATTTTTAAAACAGTCCATCCTCCTAAAAAGATAGCGATTAAGAGCAGGTACTTGGTCCGCAGTAACAAAATGTACCACTGGATCACCAGCTTGTTAGTGTCTTTACATGATATATAAGAACTTTTATATATATATATATATATATATATATATATATATATATATATATATATATATATATATATATATATATATATATATATGTCGTACCTAGTAGCCAGAACGCATTTGTAGCCTACTATGCAAGGCCCGATTTGCCTAATAAGCCAAATTTTCATGAATTAATTATTTTTCGACAACCTAACCTAACCTAACTTTTTCGGCTACCTAACCTAACCTAACGTATAAAGATAGGTTAGGTTAGGTTAGGTAGGGTTGGTTAGGTTCGGTCATATATCTACGTTAATTTTAACTCTAATAAGAAAAAATTGACCTCATACATAATGAAATGGGTAGCTTTATCATTTCATAAGAAAAAAATTAGAGAAAATATATTAATCAAGGAAAACTTGGCTTATTAGGCAAATCGGGCCTTGCATAGTAGGCCGAGAAGTGCGTTCTGGCTACTAGGTACATATATATACATTATATATATATATATATATATATATATATATATATATATATATATATATATATATATATATATATATATACACACACACAATAAAAATGTTCACCTTTTGTTCTATTGAATTAGCCCAAATGGCATTCTATTCAATATGAAATTTGCTAAAGAACATAGCCTAACCAGTTCTACCAATCATAGGCCTAATACTCGCTATCTAAGCCTAAAAAATATATCCTATCAGCCTAAAAAAAGTATAGCGCATATATGTACATATTTGCGCTATACTAGGCCTAAGAAAGTTTAGGTTTTAGTTTTTTTTTAGTTGGAGTTTATAAAAACAATTTTAGAAAATATGAACTTTCTGGTGATCTGACTTTATATTGATACTTAGGAGCAAATACCTGCTCTAGGTGCTATTATCTCAGGAGTCTGTTATGTAAACACCATTGTCTTAAGGGTTTTGCGTAGGTGTTGCTCCCAGTGTTTTAATGGTGATCCCTGGAAACACAAACCGTAACTGTCACTATTGTCCGCTTGTTACAACTTGTAATAAAGTTGTTGACCAGACCACAACTAGGTTGAAGGGACGACGACGTTTCGGTCCGTCCTGGACCATTCTCAAGTCGATTGTGTCTTTACAATTGTGTCTTGTAATAAAGTTGTTACATCTTGGCTTAACGTGTTTATGACGTATTAGAACGTTGTTACAACTTGCTATATTGGTTGTTATAACTGGTTAGGAGGTGTTAAAACTTGTTCGAACGTTGTACCAACGTCGTAGTTTCGCTGTGTGTTTGGCAGGGAGGTAGATACTATTAATGGTGAATTGTAGACGCCTCACTATCCGTCTACTACCCTTACTAGACGCCTCACAATGCGTCTACCACCCTTACTAGACACCCTACCATGCGTCTACCACCCTTACTAGACGCCTTACCATGCGTCTACCACCCTTACTAGATGCCTTACCATGCGTCTACCACCCTTACTAGACGCCTTACCATGCGTCTACCACCCTTACTAGACGCCTTACCATGCGTCTACCACCCTTACTAGACGCCTTACCATGCGTCTACCACCCTTACTAGACGCCTTACCATGCGTCTACCACCCTTACTAGATGCCTTACCATGCGTCTACCACCCTTACTAGACGTCTTACCATGCGTCTACCACCCTTACTAGATGCCTTACCATGCGTCTACCACCCTTACTAGACGCCTTACCATGCGTCTACCACCCTTACTAGATGCCTTACCATGCGTCTACCACCCTTACTAGACGCCTTACCATGCGTCTACCACCCTTACTAGACGCCTCACAATGCATCTACCACCCTTACTAGACTTCTCACAATGCGTCTACCACCCTTACTAGACGCCTCACAATGCGTCTACCACCCTTACTAGACGTCTCACAATGCGTCAACCAACCGGTGGTGATCTAACTTGTGATAACCAGTGCGCTACAGGGCCCGCATGACTGAGCCCCTCCCTTAAGAAACGCAAAGGAAGGTTAAACATCAACTTACCTAGTATGAGAGAGAAGGTCTGGCCTAGGGTGAGCCCGGTAAGGGTGACGTTGTATGTCAGCCATAACTGGTTGATCTGGTTGCCGAAGGGGTCCAGGTTCATGACTGGCGTCTCCTCGAATGAGCTGTGGGGCGGAGGAGATCACCAGTACAGTATATGGGGGAGAAATCCTAGGAAAATATGACTATGGGAATACTCACTGCATAGGTTCGAACCCTCATCACAGCTACGAATTTTCTCTTTCACGCACATCCTGTGATTACTCTCTGTGTACAGTATATGGATTTCTATAGGTCACCCCCGGCTGTTATTTTTGGGAGAGCATCCTACTGTTACTCTCAGTGTATTCCTTTTGACTTTTTCAATTTTGCTCATTTCGATTCATCTGAAATTCGAACTCAGGTCTCTTAAAGTCCGAGACCCTTGTGCTATCAATCAGGTTATTGTTGCTCACAATAAGGATCTTAGAAGTACCTAACTGATACCTAAATAAGACTTTAAACCTTCCTGGAGCACCACTAAGGTATTGGAGATACCTTACCCTTTATCCATATTTTTTAATTATTATTATTATTATTATTATTATTATTATTATTATTATTATTATTATTATTATTATTATTTAGGTAAAGAGTGAAACCAACTTCCTTGTGACTGTGACTGTCGTTATGTTTTTAGTAAATGCGGAAATACACCATTAACATAGTAGTGATAATCGCTGAAACTTTGTCCTGATGTTCAAGTCACTTCCTGATATGCAGACGACGAGTCACAATAACCTGGCTGAAGATATGACGATCAAACCACACATCAGAGAGTGGAGAAATGACGACGTTTCGGTCCGTCCTGAACACGGCTTGATAACGGTTCAGGACGGATCGAAACATCGTCGCTTCTTCCCTTTCTGATGTATGGTTTAGGCATCCCTTCTCGATAGCTCACATGATGCAACAAGAAATAAAAGAGGCAATACTTCGGACCGTCCTAGACCCTGTATTAAAAACATCTTCTTTAAGTATGCATGCTGAAGATTTCCCCTTAAACGGTAACAACGAAAATCGAGTCATACCTGAATGTGAATCGACGACGAATCTTAAGCTGAGCTGGGTAGTGGACAGTACCGTCCATCCAGAATATGAGGCTAATTTTCATCTCTGTGTCGACAGCCTCCAGTACAGGACTGGTGGCTACCACCGTACCTGTAGGAACCCTCCATTATAGCCATAACTTACATTACTTGTCGTAATTACAAGCAAGACAAGATACAATCTGACGTGATATTGCCATCCCTGAGAATTCTAATTTTGTCTCGAACTACATTTGCTCAATCATAAAATATTATATCTTCCAACAATGATTGCTAGTAGGCAACACCAGAAGAAAAATAGGTGACAAATTAAGTCAGTCTTGGATCCAGTTCTCTTCATAAATGCCTTCGATAATGGGCTACAGAATGGTTGTAGTACCCAATTACTGTGCCTACAAAGTAATCACTATAACATGTGCCTTAGTACATAATAATTAAATGTTGTATTCACATAACTATATTACGTGAGAGGAGTTGGGACTTAAACGGAACCAGCCTAGTATAGTTCAATAGGTTTACTGCGGCACTTCATTGATTGATTGATTGATGAAGATTAAGCCACCCAAGAGGTGGCACGGGCATGAATAGCCCGTAAGTGGTGGCCCTTTTGAGCCATCACCAGTATCAATAGATGATACTGGAGATCTGTGGAGGCGCAACTGCACCCTGCGTGACGGGAGATGTCTCCCGGACCAAGTGGTGACCAAATGGTGCGGCACTTCATAATTCTTACGTTCTTATATATCTTATAATAACAGTTGGCTGATGCCACTAGAGCGAAGAAGATTACAAGCAGACTTAAACACCTTTCGGAATTGGCCTGATGATTTTAAATGATGATTAATGATTATTTCCTTGCCCGAAACGCTATGCGTATTAGTGGCTTTAGGTATTGTATGTACTAGCTCTATTTAAAAATCCAGCTTTATGTTTGTAACTCTTCATCTATGCATGTACTCTTACCTGAATAAAAATTTAAATTTGAATTTTGAATTTTGAATGATGAATATGTTACAATGCATGATGAAAACAAAAAATCAAAGGCAAGCTGAAGTACTGAGTATGATTCGCAAAGGGCAACAATTCTAGTCGCTACTTGAAAAAAATGTAGCCTAACTTACCCTATCCTAACATAACCTAATCTAACCGAACCAAACCAAGATTGAAGTTACATATTTTAAACCTTGCCTAACCTAACCTATTTTAGCATAACATAAACCTTGCCTAACCTAGCCATACCTTACTCAACCTACTCTAGCCTAATATCCTATTGCAGTTTGAGTTCCTTAGTAATCCATTGTTGTTTTATAAATAGCCAGGTACTTATGGACTCACCAGACTGGATGTTGTCCTGAAAGACCTGTAGAACCCAGGGTCCAGCAGGCGGGGCGTCGACCAGACTGCTCTGGAATCGAACCCTGCTAAAGGCAGCGTTGTTCATTTGAACCAAAGACCAACCGTTCGTATCATCCTGGAAGTCAAACACCAATGGTCCCGATGGTGCTTCTGTCGTTGGGGAGTTGGTTGTTGGGGGGTTGGTTGTTGGGGGGTTGGTTGTTGGGGGGTTGGTTGTTGGTGGGTTGGTTGTTGGGGGGTAGGTCGTTGGGGGGTAGGTCGTTGGGGGGTAGGTCGTTGGGGGGTAGGTTGTTGGGGGCTCGGTCGTGGGAGGTTCGGTTGTTGGGGGGTAGGTCGTTAGGGGTTCGGTTGTTGGGGGTTCGGTCGTTGGGGGTTCGGTTGTTGAGGGTTCAGTTGTTGGGGGCTCGGTTGTTGGGGGTTCGGTTGTTGGGGGCTCGGTCGTTGGGGGTTCGGTCGTTGGGGGTTCGGTCGTTAGGGGTTCGGTTGTTGGGGGTTCGGTTGTTGGAGGTTCAGTCGTTGGGGGTTCGGTCGTTGGAGGTTCGGTCGTTGGGGGCTCGGTCGTTGGGGGTTCGGTCGTTGGGGGTTCGGTTGTTGGAGGTTCGGTCGTTGGGGGTTCGGTCGTTGGGGGTTCGGTTGTTGGGGGTTCGGTCGTTGGGGGTTCGGTTGTTGGAGGTTTGGTCGTTGGGGGTTCGGTCGTTGGGGGTTCGGTCGTTGGGGGTTCGGTTGTTGGAGGGTAGGTTGTTGGAGGGTAGGTTGTTGGCGGGTAGGTTGTTGGAGGGTAGGTTGTTGGAGGGTAGGTTGTTGTAGGGTAAGTTGGTAAGAGGGTGGTTGGTGGGGCTGTCGGTGGTAGGGTGGTTGGGGTGATGGTTGAGGTAGTTGGGTCTTCATACGATTCGAAGGCAAGAGTGTCAATAGCGCACCCCATCAGCGGCTCGCCTGGCTTGGCCCGTTTTCCGTTGAAGCAGAAGATATCCAACTGCCGGGAGAGAAAATCCAATCATTACAGGATACTCCAGGTTGCAATTCTTTTGACCACGTCATGATACAGTTGAATAAGGCACGTCTGGGAACATCCCGTGCGTAGGTTCGAACCCTCATCAAGGCCCTTGTGGATATGTTCATATGCACACTGTGTTTACATAGTTCATGACTAAAATATAATTACTGGTTGGTCAGTACCCTATTGTCAGGACTTCACTGACTTTTCAGAGTGCGATTGATCTTCAGCTCAACACCAAACCACGAAACATCGTGAGGTTGATGGGCATAGTCGTAAATATTTAAGATAATGACAACTAATAAAGTGATTTAACCAAGAACAAATAGATAAATTGTTGTAATGTCAATACTAACTCTTATTCTCGTGCTCTGGGGCGCCATCTCTGCAAATTCGACGAACCATTCTTTGGTATCGGGTTGAGAATACTTCTCCAAGTCGAGTAAGAGAACTGGACGAGTATTCTTATCGGTGTAGATTTTGATGGTTAGATCGTTGGATCCCACGTACTCTGAACGAAGGTAGAATTTAATGGCTAACTTCCCTCCGTTGGGGGCAGTGAACCAGGGCGTGTAGAGCTCGTCACTAGCGCTTGGACTGTCCATAACAGCAAAGCCATCTGGGCCCGCCGGCAGGACGGTGTCAAGATTCTGAACGTTGGTCCAGCGCCACGAACCACGGGTAGAGTTCCAGACTTGTAAGCTATTGGAGAAATCATAGTAGTAATAACTGGCCCATGCCCCTGAAGACAGGCAGGCCACCACCACCAAGAGGAAGAAGGGCGGGAGAGCGGCCGACGTGTTCCGAGCCATGTTTGTACTGAGCATTTGGCCTCACTGCTCGACGGCTTTTATACCTAGGGCTTTTATCGCCAGGCGTTTGATAGACCGAGTGATGAGACCGTGTCTGTGTCGGGGTAGTGGAGCCCGTTCGCTCGATTTGCCATTCCGTATTAAATGCTACTGTTTTCCCTCAACTTAAATGTGAAAAAAATGACTCAGTTTTGCCTAAACTGAAACATACGGATTCAAGCAACCTATCAACGGCCGATGTATAGAAACCGTCACTATTATGGTGCTTTAATTTTTAGTAATACGGCCCATTTTTAACGGATTAGTCGGCTCCACAAAAACCGTTGGTCGTTATGTCTTCAATAGAGAGGATTTAAATTATTTTCTGAAGTATTTTTGAAGCTTAAACTCATTGGGAAGGGTCATGAAATCCTGAGTAAATAGGGCAGGTGCTTGTGTTAGTCTATTTGTGCCTACAGGATTGAGCGCTTGGTCCCCGCCTTGCCAACCATCAGTTATCTACAGTAATTACTTCTGACCTATTTTCTCTATCAAAGCTACCACGCACACACAAAAACGTAAACACACACACGCACACACACACACAAATGTAAATATGATAGAGCCCAGTAGGCTCAGGAACCTGTACATCAGATGATTGAAAGTTGAGAGGCGGGACCAAAGAGCCAGAGCTCAACCCCTGCAAGCACAACTAGGTAAACACACACACACACACACACACTGAGGTAGACGGTTGGAACAAGTTAAGTGAGAAGGTGGTGGAGGCCAAAACCGTCAGTAATTTCAAAGCGTTATATAACAGAGTACTGGGAAGACGGGACACCACAAGCGTAGCGCTCATCCTGTAACTACGCACAAACACACACACACACGAGAGTACCTGCGTATACCTGTGATTATATAAGCAATATCATAGTTACGTCTACATATAGTTACGTCTACACTCGAGATAATTATCAATAATGATAAGAGATTAGCTCCTTCATTATCTCACATAGTTTCATAACTTAAAATCCCCCTCAATACAAGCATTTTTTCCTATGCAATTAAACATACCTTACTAAGTTTGAGTGTGTATAAATGGGTGCTGCCTCATATGTGCCAATTTTGGCCTTTTGCAGTTAATTTATCTAGCCACTGAGTACCTTAAGTTCAATGGTGGTGGAGGGATATTGTGACTCTAATAGTGCTCTGCAGTCCTTAAAGTAGCTTGTAATATTAAATGGAATGTAATTTTTGCCAATGATAATAACTATTGCATAAAATTTGTGTGGATCCTATCCCAGGTTGGAGTTGGAAAACATTACTTTGTAGATCGATTGGCCAATGAGGCTTGCAGGAAAGAAAATATTGATTATGTTGTCTATACAGTATACCTAGGTCATAAAAGTAGTTGTGTGTACGTCTGGTACCATACTACTTGTGTAAAGGAGGAATGAATATGTTTATCTCTCAGAATGTTTGGTAATATGTTTATTGTTTGTGATGTGTGTCAATGTATGTATTAATATGATGTACTGAACGGGGTGAGAATAGCTTGAGCTACCTCATCCCTTTGTGTGTATTTTACCTCAATAAACTTATTTCAATTTCAATTGATTATGAATTTGGATTATCTAATGCAATTATTAGAAACATACAAATTAAAAAAATTAATTCAGATTTAGAAGAACTAAGAAATGCCCAGAGACCTGAAAGCTGCACTGTTAAAAGGTATGACAACTTTTGTAATAATAGGTATTTGTATGGCCAGTACAGTAACCGGACCAGGCAATATGATGTAGTCATTGCGCGAGTTCGCCTTGGCTATAGACGCATCTGGCAGGTTAGTGAGGCTGAGCCACTACCAGAATATTCAGATTGCAAACTCTGTGGCAAACCTTTAATGCATTCACTAAAACATTATAGTGTTGAATGTGAAACTGTAAAAGATTTTAGATCTCCTGGCCTATTGTACCGCCAACTGTGTAACTATTTCATTGAATCTGGTGTACTGGACGACATCCTAACAATTTATCCAAAATTTGCTTGTCCATTTTAAAGAATGAAGAACAATTTCATTTATAATATTTTTAAGCTGCATCTCTTATGAGCCCATCCCTGTCATTGTGTGGCAGTGCACAATAGAAAGTGGATTTTACATATTCATACATTAAAACATTGATTGTAACCATGATATATATGTGCTTCAGCCTACAGTTTAGACTTATTGTCTTGTGTATGACCCTCTGTCCTATGTGACAGTGAATACCAGTATTATCCTCACTCCAATAAGACTTAATTTAAATCCTCAAATTAGGCAAAATTGTAATTAAATGTTGTCAATGAAGGTGGTAATAATAAATAATTTGCAGTTAACTTTATTCCTATATTTTTAAATATTGCTCGTGTGTTCGTGGAATCAAATAATCCACGTTAATACAGACGAATCTGTTGACGTTCGTAGCGTTGCCACACTAATCATACATTGACCTCAAAAAAGTTTTACAAATTTACGTCGGTACGAGGCTCTTCAACGATGGAGGGAGATAACACAGTTAGTACGCTCACCAGGAAGCAGATCCCTTCAGTGAGTTTGTGGAGAGGGTACAAGTGGTTGGGCACCATTCCTTTCCCCCGTCCCATTCCAAATCCTTATCCTCACGTCCCTTCCAAAGTGCTATATAGTCGTAATGGCTTGACGCTTTCTCCTGATAATTATTTAATATTTGTGCCTGCAGAATCGAGCTATTATAGCTCTTGGACCCCGCCTTCATAATCGATCTATTTTCATTTTATTACCTTAATTTTTCCTATATTAGCTTACTTCCCAGTGGTTCTACCTACGGGCCTTATTGCCATGGGCATAGTTCAACATCTCCCTAATTGACGAATCCGTTAATTACGTTGTGTAAAAATCTGACAACGTCAATCGGTCTTCACCCTGGTTCGTTGGTGAATCAGCTCGTTGACTCAGTTATATTGATACAGGCCTGTCTTCAAGGCCTCGATCTATTAAGCACCTAAGTGTTCTCATACGACACCTGTGCATCTTTCCTCATGGTGGCTTAGTTTGCATTTGTGAAACAATTCGTGAACTCTTTACTGTGAACTTTTACGTCTCCGTGGTGTAGTGGTAAGACACTCGCCTGGCGTTCCGCGAGCGCTTTGTCATGGGTTCGTATCCTGGCCGGGGAGGATTTTCTGGGCGCAAATCCTTAACTGTAGCCTCTGTTTAACTCAACAGTAAAATGTGTACTTGGTTGTAAAAACGATTCTTCACTGCGGGGATCGTATTCCAGGGACCTGCCCGAAACGCTACGCGTACTAGTGGCTGTACAAGAATGTAACAACTCTTGTATATATCTCAAAAAAAAAAAACTGAAGCGCAACGAGGTTGTGAAATTTCAAAACTCGGAAACTGTGTAATAAATACAGACTAGGCGTAATTGTACGCTATTCTACGTAATCCATACTAATGGCGCCTATGCGTTAGGATTTCGTCGGGGCAGGCGGGAACAGGGGCCGTCAGAATAGGCGGGAATGGCTCCGTCAGCGAAGGCGGGAACAGGCGCCGTCAACGTAGGCGGGAACGGCTCCGTCAGCGTAGGCGGGAACAGGCGCCGTCAACGTAGGCGGGAACGGCTCCGTCAGCGTAGGCGGGAACAGGCGCCGTCAACGTAGGCGGGAACGGCTCCGTCAGCGTAGGCGGGAACGGCTCCGTCACCGCAGGCGGGAACGGCTCCGTCAGCGTAGGCGGGAACAGGCGCCGTCAACGTAGGCGGGAACGGCTCCGTCACCGCAGGCGGGAACGGCTCCGTCACCGCAGGCGGGAACGGCTCCGTCACCGCAGGCGGGAACGGCTCCGTCAGCGTAGGCGGGAACGGCTCCGTCAACGCAGGCGGGAAAAAGCGCCGTCAGCAACAAGCTGTATCAGCGTCTGGTGGGAAGCATCGTGTCCTTTCTCCCATGGACGTGTTTACAGCCGAGGCAGCGAACTGGAACAGATTTAATGCTCCCAAAGATTACGTCAACGGACTCAAAAAACACGAATTATGTTTAAACTAAAACTCGCCGACAACACAACATCAGTTGGTCAGGATTCATCAGACATTTACGCATTCATTTACGAAACCTGTTCATCTTTCCACACTCACGGCGGCTGTGTTAACATTTTATCAAACAGTTTGTGAACTCCGAAGCACTACGAGGTTTTTATAAAAACTGTAACCTTGGGTTGTGAAGTTCTCAAGCTTATAAACTGTTTAATAGATGTAAACAAAGCCGCCATGATCAAAGACAGATGTAAATGTTTCGCAAGTGGTTACTAAAATGCTTGACAAATCATGTACCACAGAAACGAACAATGACCTCGACAGATATCTGAGATAAAACAAAAAAACCTATTGAAGATAAAAAGAAAAAAAAAAGAAAGAGGAAAGATACAGTATATGAAAACATTGCAAAATAGCATACCATACCTTGAGGTTACCTTGAGGTGCTTCCGGGGCTTAGCGTCCCCGCGGCCCGGTCGTCGACCAGGCCTCCTGGTTGCTCGACTGATCAACCAGGCTGTTGGACGCGGCTGCTCGCAGCCTGACGTATGAGTCACAGCCTGGTTGATCAGGTATCCTTTGGAGGTGCTTATCCAGTTCTCTCTTGAACACTGTGAGGGGTCGGCCAGTTATGCCCCTTATGTGTAGTGGAAGCGTGTTGAACAGTCTCGGGCCTCTGATGTTGATAGAGTTCTCTCTCAGAGTACCTGTTACCATATAAGAGGATGATAATCAGTCATGCACCTTAAGTTTTGGCGGGAAGACTCATGTAAATACCCGTTCCGTTACATATAGGTATATAAGTGAGAAAGGGGGGTGGATTAGATAGGAATATGGGTGAGAGGGAGTGGATAGAAACGGGGCTCCGCCTACCATGAGTTACGAAAATATAACTCAATTAATGAAATAGGCTTTACCGAAATTTTTATTCCTTTTAGTTGCAAGTAATTAATTTATTTCATAACTGCACATGAAGATGTTTTTTGTTGTTTCTTCGTGGG